ACTAGAATTTGGATGTGTTCTATCAGCTGGTTAGAAGTAACAAATTGTCACAATTTGCATTCTGAATGTTTAAGGCAATCAAACGGGTTAGCTGCAATTATTTTGTATGAGGATGATTTTAAATTTTCTTTCATGGAACTGATAAAATTGACGGGCAGCTTGTAAAAGCAAATGAGGTGTAGCTTTAAGATTTAGCAGCGATGTTGATCTCTGGGATAGAGTACTATTTTGATCCGAATTTGTGAATCCTTTCTTGCTTATCCTGGCTGAAGATGGTATTTCAACATTTTTTTTTATTTGGTTGTCCTTTATGGATTTATTTTTTAGATATTCTGTACTTTTGTTGTCTTCTGTACTTCTTGCTTACATATATTTTTCCCACTCTTTTTTGTTTGGTTATGATTATAGATTTTTTGGTCTTTTGGTTGTTTAGAACATGGCTCTTTAATATAGTAGACATCCTTCCATCACTTGCAACAGTAATTTCAAGTACGTGTTTGTTCTATCTTTTGTCCATATTTGTTATTAAATTAACGTAATGTTTAACACAAACGAAAGATTCATTTAGCAATAGTAATTACACAATTGTCTAGTTTCTTACCTGCTATTTTTTAAGTTTGAAATTCAGTTATCAGGTTCACCAATTTATGATCATCTTGAACTTGACCCTTTTTCTTGTGCATCTTAAAATACTTGTGTTTTATTTAAGCTACAAAAGTTTAATCATAGAGAAACTATGGTGCTTATTTTATTGTAATTGATGACATTGCTCTCTGTTATATTAGAAGCATAATGTTATAGTTTCTGTTCAAGGGATTAATTATTCAAAACTTTTCAGATGGTCTGGTGTAGGTGAAACATGTGGAGATTACCCTTTTAGCCACCATAAACTCACAGTTCAGTTCTATGAGGCTTCTGCAGCACAAGACCGAAAACTGGAGGGATTGGTACACAAAGCTATTCAAGAATTGTGGAGACCAGAACCAAGTGAATTAAGCCTTTTGCTAACAAAGGGTATTGAGTCTACTTACCTCAAAGTTCCTCCGAAGGCATATACACTCACTGGTAGTAGTGATCCTTGCTATGTTGAAGCATATCATTTAGCAGACTCAATTGATGGGAGAATTACATTACATTTAAAGGTTGTTCTCTATACCATGTTATTACTACGGTACTTCCTTTTTTCCATCATCTTACCAATGTTTACTTATATTTTAAAACAATCACTTTGGTTCGTTGGATGTGTAAAAAACATGACCTTTACAATATGCTTTTCAGTAGAACAAATTTTTTCATGAGAAAAATAGAATCTTAATTTTGATGCAAATGATTAGGATGGCTTTTTATTATTAACAAGAAGCCATGCAAGATTGTCCCATGTTTTTCGTTTTGCCTGACCTAGAACTTGAGAAAGGTTTATGGCTATGGGAATTTTACCAAGAATTTTAGGCCAAATAGAATAATTCCGTTATGTTATATTATATTTTTAGAGTTGTCTCAGGATTGTCCTTGTTGCAAGCCTTTTTTTTGCTTTAAACACTTAGTTTTCATCCCATTTTTTCAAGTGCCACTATTGTGAATTTTTTGGCTGCTCTACACATCAAGGTGCAAATGATGTCAATGGCATTCGTTATCCTCTCCGTAAGTGTTCAAAGTGATTTCTGTTCTGACATCATAGCTTAAAAAAGGAGTTGATTCTGAGAGAGCCTAATACTTAATTAGATCAGCTAAAGAGCTTTTGCAACGTTTATCTTACCATTGGACATGCTCTTGCATTCCTGCTCAATATGCTTCTCTTTTATTTATTTCAATTATATTCCTATTTTTGCCGACTCTGAAGCTAAATTATTTTCCAAGTGTCAATCCTTTCAATCGTGAATCTTCTCGTACTTGTTTAGGTCAAATCTTACAACAGTTTATTTATAATCATTATTCCTTATGCAGGTTTCGTGGAGTAATAATCTGGTTTATGTTGTGAATGCAGATTCTAAATTTGACTGAACTAGAGCTAAATAGGGTGGATATCCGGGTTGGACTTACTGGGGCTCTTTATTTCATGGACAATTCTCAAGGAGTACGACAGCTACGGAATCTTGTTTCCCAGGTATCTTTTTCTAGAACATGGATAGATTTTGACAAAAAAAATAAAAAAACATGGGTAGATTTTGACAAAAGCATGATCATGCTAATCTTTCTGCAGAGAATATTAATAGTATGAAGGATCAGAATGTTTTTAATGCTTTTCCATTTCCCTGCATTTGAAACTTGATTGGAATTTATTCTAGCTTCAGCCATATATGATGTCAATCTGATTTTCATTTTTAATGTAGGATCCAGTTCTTAGCAGTGTAACAGTGGGTGTCTCGCACTTTGAGAGATGTGCACTTTGGGTTCAAGTTCTGTATTATCCTTTCTATGGAAGCGGAAATGTTGACTATGAGGGAGATTATGCCGATGAAGAAGCTCAGATCATGAGACAAAAACGTACTTTGAAGCCAGAACTTGGAGAGCCTGTGATACTAAGATGTCAACCTTACAAAGTTCCATTAACTGACCTCCTTTCACCTCATAAGTGTTCGCCAGTTGAATACTTTCGGTTCTGGCCAAGCTTGCCAGCTATTTTAGAGTACACAGGAACCTACACGTATGAAGGTAGTGGTTTCAAGGCTACAGCTGCACAACAAAGTGGGGCTTCACCATTTCTGAGTGGGCTAAAATCGCTCTCATCAAAACCTTTCCATCAAGTGTGCTCACACCTTATCCGTACAGTGGCTGGCTTCCAAGTAAGTCCTTGTTTTGCCCACCATCTGTAATCGTTTCCTTACGATATTTTAAATTGCCACATTCTTAAAAGTTGATTCTCAATAGCCATTGTGATAAAAGAATTATTAATTTTAAAAGTTTCCACATACTCACTTTAAATCAACAGCCACCTCATTATACTTAGGCTTCGTTTGATTATTTTGTACATTTACCTAAAAGGTAGTTTTAAAACCGTTGTTTGAGAGAACGGAGTTTCTTAACAGAGAAGTTAATATCATAAAGTTTTTGAAAACAGTACAAAAACAACGGTATTCAAAACGTGTTTAAGAAAAGTAATTTCATCAAACAAATAATTTTTTTCTGCTTTATCGTTGCCAGACAGAAAAAACAATAAAAACGGACAAACAAACGAGCCCTTATTGCATAATAATAATTTTGTTAAAATGATTTTTAAGGTTTATATATGAGTTAAAATCAGATATTTGAAAGAGATGATTATCTTAGGCATATGATCGTCTTGTTCCCAATTAGAAATTAGCAGTAAAAAAAAAATAGCATTTGGAGATTTGAACATCCACACTAAAAAGTGGAACAAACATCTATTAATAAGGTGGATTGATAAAACCATTCTGATAGACTTTTATAAAGAATGACAGATGAAGGATAACATGACGAGCAAATGAGTTGAGAATCTCATGCGGTATTGACATAAAAGATTATCAAGTCTTTGTCTCATTACGTGAGGTCAGCTAAATGATTAATAAAGCCAATTCTAAATACGTGGGGTCGGAACTCAATAAAATGAACTCTTCCTTGTAATGATTGGAATAGAAAACTAAAATCTGAATGATCTTTGCCAATCTTTGTCACACAGTTGTGCTTTGCTGCAAAGACTTGGTTCGGGGGCTTCTTGGGAATGATGATTTTTGGTGGGAGCGAAGTGAGTAGAAATGTAGATCTGGGTGACGAAACCACCACAATGATGTGCAAATTTGTTGTACGATCCTCTGATGCTTCCATTATTAAGGAAATAGGTTCAGATATACAGGGATGGCTGGATGACATTACTGATGGCGGTGTCGAGTACATTCCAGAAGAGGAGGTGAAGATTGCAGCTGCTGAGAGGCTAAGAACCTCCATGGAAAGAATAGCACTGCTCAAAGCAGCTAGACCTCCCCCTCAACTTCCAAAACCTGAAGAAGAAGAAGAAGAGGAGAATGAAGATGACGAAAAGAAAAAGAAAGAGGAAGAACTTGACGAGAATGGGAAGCCAAAAGGGCCTTCAACCCTATCTACTCTGACTGCAGAGGAAGCAGAGCACCGTGCGCTACAAGCTGCAGTTATTCAAGAATGGCATATGCTGTGTAAAGAGAAACCCATCGCTGCCAATTGAGGCGCTGGTAATTAATCCTCTTTAAGTTTTTATATCGTTTAATTTACTCCATCGTTTTAGAGAAAGCTGATATTAAACATTATAGAGGAACACCAAAGCCAGTATGGAAATATTCTAGCTTCAGTAAAAGAAAATCATTCCATAAAATTATTTTCAGCCATTCCAAAGTACGCTTTGTTTAGAAAGTTTTAATTTTTTTTTTATTGAAATTGTAAATGAATATCATCTGTTGAACATTTGTTGAGGTTAATCAAGATGTGTCAAATCATTCGGTATACAGTAGTTCAAATAGAAAAGTGATATGATACGTTCCGATTAATCTCCGGACACTATGCCATCCAGTGTCTGCACAAAATAATTTCTCATGAAAGGACCATTTGAAATCTGAATTGAACATCAAAGAGTTGAAGGTGATCTTATTCAAAATTATAAAAAATAAAAAAAAAAATAAAAAAAATCTTCAAGCCTTATGATTTATATGATGCATTTTGTCAAGCATTATTAATAATTAACTAAAAAAATATTTATAAAATTATAATGAAATATAATAATCCAATAAGATTGTGACTACTGACATGAAAAAAAAAATGAAAATCTGCCTTAAATCAATCTAATGCGGAGATCAAGATTGGTTTATAGCCTCAACATTATTGCATAACAGCCAAATAAACTTTCCACTGTTAACAATGCAAAAAAAATTTACATCATAACGTTCTGACACAATTAGTATCCTGATTGTCCTTAAATTTACATTAACATTAATAATATCCATACTATAAAAATTCATATTAATCTGTAATTAAACTCTTCTTAATTCAAATTCCATCAAGATAACCTAACATAATTTCCTCCCAACAGCAAAAATGTACACAACAAATATCAAAACAAGCGTCCATTTTGGCTTCTAATCATATCATAAAGCACTAAAAATGCTCGGCTCCTATACATTTCAGCGAGAAGACGTATAAAATGATTGTATCTATACAGAAGCATATGGCTTATTCTCTATAGCCACACAAATGGCCACACTGACATAATCAAGAGAAGCCTTTCCAAAATAATAACAATAATAATAATAATAATAAAAGAGCTGCTCAGGCTGCTTTGCCTACAACATTCAACCAGAAAATCCAGCCAACAACTCTCTAATTCCTTATAAAATTCGATGCCGATAGCTTATAACTGGAACCATTTACCTTCACGGAAGGGGCTGCAACATGCCTATCTTTGGCAGTAGCCGTTGTGAAGCCACTATCAGAGTTTGCTTCGCTTACATCGCCATCCCCAGGCCTCGCCCAGATTTTGATGTGGCCTTCACGGCAAATAGTAACAACTGATTCTCTGGTAAATATTAGACCAGACAAAGGCTCCACATGTACACGGTGGGCGGAGAGAGGGGAGAGCTTCGGCACATCCCGCATGCTCGGCGGTGGCTGAAGGGTGCCTATAGAAGGTGCGGAATCCCAGTGAGCAGAAGAATGGCTTCCACTGCTAAGGGTGGGCGAGCCGCCAAGAGGATTATATCGTTGTGGCACAACGATTTCGTCCATTTCGAGGTCCCATAGAAGTAGACGAGTATCCTAAAAATGAAATAAAGCCTTATGCACACTTATAACAACAACAACAACATCAAGCCTTTATCCCACTACGTGGGGTGTCGGCTACATGAATAATTTTTCTCCACCGTGTCCTATTAAAAATCAAATTCTCGTTTAAATCTAATAGAGAGATCATTTCTAATATTTTCTAACCAAGTCTTTTTAGGTCTGCCTCTACCTTTCTTAATATAAGTCAAATCTAATACATCTACTTTCCTAACCGGGTCCTCGGAAGGCCGCTGTTTTATGCACACTTGAACAACAAATTTAAATATCTTCTTATTATTTTGCAATATACCACACAATATGCTTAAAGATGGATATATTTTGAAAAAAATTATAATATGTCAATAATGCACTCATTTTAAAGAAATTTAAATGATTGAAAGACATATCTTTAGTGGTAAAGTCAAAGCATGCATAGTTAATACAATTCATATTTGTTAGTTTAATTAAAATAACTTAATTAATTATTCAAATACCTGACCAACAGATCCAAAACGGTACATAGCATTTTCTGCTGTTCCATCAGAATTCCCATCAGAATTTGGAGCCGACCAATAAGAATCAAAAGCAACACCGCTCACCTGTTAGATCGGCTTACTAGTGAGGACTATAGAAGATGACAACTAATAAAATTTGAGGTAAGATTTACCCATGAATTATGTCCCTCCCCACAAGCAACTATTTTTCGAGCATCCATGCTCCAGACTTGTACGAGATCATCTTCACCACCAATTAATATGTATTTCCCATCAGGGCTAGAAACAACATGCAGCCAAAATATAGAGAAGATTAGATTCCTGGAAATTCTCCATTGAACCAAAATTAGAACACCAGAAATTTGAAAATGGTAGATACTCACTTAAGGAAAAGCAAACAAAGAAATGAAAAAAAAATGGCAACAAAAAAGGGAAGTTCAGAGAAAACATTAGAGGAACAATGTTTCAGAGCACAAAATACAATGGGATGTCGAGTGGTGCTTTTGTTAACTAAAGCTTCGTTTCGGACCATTTTCTTATTATTTTTTAAGCAACTTCCAGTACAAAAATTTTAATTTTTGTACTAAAAAACTATTTTAAGAAGTAATAAAAAAAGTCGTTCCAAACGAAGCCTAAGGCTTGGTTTGGGACCGCTTTCTAACAGCTTTTTGAAGCAGCTTCTAACACAAAATCCTAATAGTTTAAGAAATTTTTGTATTAAAAAACTGTTTTAAAAAGTTGTCTCAAACAAGGCCTAAGACTCCATCATTACTTGTATTATCTACATAAGTATAGTATACAAATTTCAAAACTATATTACATAAGAATTTCCAACAAACATAATAACATATCCTATATTAATAACGAAACATGATACTTCAAGAAATGAGTTTCAAAAAAATTCAATTGAAATTGAGAAAGAATAATGTAGTATGTAGCTGATTTGAATATCATATCTAGAACTCAACCATCAAATTCTAGATATTACAACTATTTAAAGAAATGATTTAATAATAAAATCTGTGTCGAATTTACCGTGCCATTTCTCAAAATGAAAATTCTATGAGAAGTTCCACGTGTCCTGAGATCTTGATTGGCCTTATCAGTGAATTTAATCTAGTGAATATTCCTAAATTTACTTTACAAATAAAAAAGAAAGAAAATTTTGCCAAGTGAATCGTTTATTTCTTTCTCCTTGCAGTGAGGAATCTTTTCCAAATTGCATTCAAACGATGCTCAATAGTTATTGATCTATTATCTTAAATTTTAATGATACACCTTCATTTAAATCTCTCTATTTTTGCTTTGAGAATGGGTAGTTTCTTAAGGAGGGCTTTAGGAAGATAATTATCGATTGGTTGAATGGTTTACATGTTGAAGGAGATGATGTTAAATATCGTCTTAAAAAAAGAAGTCCTTGCTTAATCCGAAAGATTAAAATAAATGAATTTCTGTAAATTTGATTCTACTGAGGTTAAAGCTGAGAATTGTATTTGCAGCACTCAAGATATTAAAAAATATGAGCAAGGTAAGAAGTGGCTTTTCAATGAAATGAAATAAGAGATACATCAGTATCAAAAGGTTAAAGTTAATTGGTACCTAAAAAGTGATAATATTTAAAATGGGATGAGGATCAATCTTATTCATAATATAAAGATAACAATCAAATTCTCTCTACCATTGGAATATTTATAAGGCCTTCCAATATCCTTCAAATGGTTCTTTAACAATAATACGCTGTAAATTTATGCTTTGGACTTCAACACGCTTTATACCTTTTCAAACTTATTTCTTCTTCTCTCAGTTCTCTTGATTTTCCTTTCTTATTGAAGAAATAAACGCTCTCCAACCCTAATTGACTGTTCTATTAAATTCGTCAAGTCATTTTTTTAGATCGTATGTTCATGTTCAATGATATTTTCCTGGGTAATGCTTCATTCTGTAGACCTAGCTCGGCTTTCATTCGTCTTGTATCTAAGAAACACAATTGTGGAATTGTTAAAGATTTCAAGCTCACAAGTATTTTAAATGTTGCATTCAAAAGCTTTCCTAGACAATAGATTAAATCCTTTTATATCTAAGTTGATTGATATTACTGAGGTTCCTTTGTTGCCGAGCGATGTATTCTTGATGATATTTTTTGCATCCCATAAAACTATCCACAACACCCATGATAAGAAATTGAATAAATTCATCTTCATGGTGAACTTCAAAAGTAGTTTGAAAGCTGCAATTGGAGATTTATATTTGGTTCTAATGGGCAGATTTTCACCCTCTTTATTTCTTGGATCAAAGATAGCATCAGCAATAAAAGCTCTCAAGTCATTGTTGATGAAGTGGGTAAACAGCTATGTTGCATCGATATGGATACGGCGATACGGATACGACACGATACTGATACGGGACACGCCAATTCTTAAAAATATAGGATACGGATACGGCATTATAATATATAAATAATACATAAAAATTAATAAAGTAATCAAAGTGTAATATTTGAAATGACAAAAAAAATTGAAATAAAAGTAAGCATTAAATATTGAAATGTCTAGTACAATAACAAAAACAAGAAGATAAATTGCCAAGCACATGAAATTTCAACTATTCAATAGACGGGTTCAACTATTCAATAGACGGAATGATAGGATTAGCTTCTTCAGTGGTTTGTCTTTGAGTTTCTATATCATCTTCAATAAATATCATAGCTTCTAATTCAGGCTCATCAAGTGAAATATTAGCAATTTCTAATATTCCCATATCCTCAAGAGATTCAAATCCATCTCCAGCAACATCCCACATCCTGTTGTCTCCTTCCATATAAGTTGGAGTTTTCCTTGAGAGAAGTCGAAGGTTTGTATGCACGTAAACTAAATCTTCAGCCCGTTATGGAGTAATTTTATTTCTCTTCATTGATTGGATGAATGAGTATGTGCTCCAATTTCTTTCACAACAGGATGAGGATGAAACTTGGCCAAGCACTGAAACGCTCCATGTCATAATCCACCACATATTTCGGATCAATAGTCCCACCATATCACGCAATTGACTCTTTTATTCACCAAAGTCCTTTAAAATAACCAAAAAATTTAGCAAGCTCAATATTGAACTTATTTCTCTCCTGCCTCAAATTTGCGAAAATAACGCTTCAAACATGTTCTTTCCTCATGATTTGAATTTTCTAAACTTTCTTATGGAAGACAACTCTTGAGATGACCTCTGAAGCCGCATTCTTTAGTGAAATATCTTCAAAAATATAAAATGAAATAATGAAAAAAATCGTCGAAATACCCAAAACAACAAATTTGTGAATTCATATTAATGAAAAAAATTTGAAATTTACCTTGGATTATGAAGTGAGCTAAGCAATGTAAAAGGTGTGTTATCATTTGCTCCACCTACTTCTAGAATGAGGGTATAAACAACCATCCCAAAAGCTTGAGTCTTCATGAACAGTGCCTCTCTCATTGTCTATAATAATTTCTTTTAACTTTGGCTAGCATGAATCCCACATCTCATAAAGAGATGTAAGCAAAAGACTTATGCTATCAGCTACCTCTCAAACACATGTAGCTCAATATATGGGGTCTGTTCATGTGATCTCGTTCATGATGTACTACATCTCTATTCGATCCCATCACTCCCCACCCATACAATCATACTTAAAGATCCATAGCTTGAAGAGCATTTTTTATTTTTTTGAATCTTCTCAACATCACTATTACTGAGGCAAACCGAGTTTCAGCAACTGCAAGCATCTTTAAATTAGAGAAATCATTGAACATAGAGAGTCTCATGGAGTGATTCATAATAAAATTTCTAATTACAATTGCATCTCCAGCAATCATTGTGATCCAATGACATTCATTATAGGTGATTTCATTTGCCTCGGTATTCTTAGCTGCACAAATGTTCTTCAAAGCAAGATTAAGCGTATGCACAACACATGATGTCCAGAAAATATGAGGATATGCTTGCTCTACAAGTAGACCTGCAGCTCTACAAACAGGTGCATTATCAGTAATGAACTGAATGATGTTTGAAGGCCCCACCATCATGATATCTTCTTTGATTAAATTAGAAATGAAGAACTTATCCTTGTACTGTCCTTCACAGTTTACAGCTTTGATAAACATAGGATAGCTCTCTGTTACAGCCATGAAGTTGATAAGTGATCTTCTTTGTGGATCTGTCCACCCATCACAAACCAAAGTAACTCCTTTTTCCTTCCAAACTCCTCTAGTAGGCTCGAGCAACTTCTCAATATTGTCCCTCTCTCTTTGCAACAACTTCGTTCTAATGATATTATATTATGGTGGCACGTATCCTGCAAGATTGTTATTGCATGCATATGTAAAGGCATTCTTGTAATGTGGATTCCTTGCTAGGTTAAAAGGAAGTCCAACTAAGTAAAATATTCTAGCTATTTCCATGTCTAGTTGTTCTCTCATTTGTAAATTAAATGCTTTCTCCAAAGCACTATCTACAACATGTTTTTTTTTTTTTTATTCAAATCCCTCCATTCGAAAAGGCACTTTGTTTACAGTACTGTCATCACATCTAATTGAAGAAGATGATGAAGGATATGAAGTATGAGTGCTTAGAAGTGGAATATATTTTGGAAGCTCTTTTTTACTCCTTTGCTCAACTTCACTGATTTTTCTTTGTAATTCAGCCATTTGTGATGAGCTTATCTTCGGGCAAACTTTGATTCCATGACCACTAATCTTCAACAAATGAGCTTTCACTCTATAATATGATCATTTGTATGTTGCATTACAAAAATTGCATTTGAATGCAATATTGCCTCTCCCTTCTGATGTTTTACCTATTTTTGTAACATAACCCCATAGAAGTTTGTTATCTTCAATATTGATTTCTGATGGACGATCATCAGAACTAATTCCTACTCCACTAGAGCTCATTATCCTACAAAGGATCTATACAAATTAAAACATATGAATTTGAAACATGAAAAAATTTAAGTGAAAGTGTAGATATGTTGCGAATCTGCCGGGGGTCCAAGGGGGCGCTGCCCCCTGGCAGGTTGGTCGCAGGGTCAAGGGTGCGGGGATTTTAGGGGGCAGCGCCCCCGAAACAAAAATATTTTCTAAGAGTAATTTTGAAGTGTTGTTTATTTTTAAAGTTATTTTTATGGAAAGATACCGAGCGATACCAAGCATGTTTTAGCTTCTCGGTGCCGATTGGTACCATTCGGTACCCCTCTATACCGAGCAATACCGAGCGGTACCGAGTTACAATACCGAGCGATACGAAGTTCC